GGGGGGGGGGGGGGGGGGGGGGGGGGGGGCAGGCAGAGAAGGGACGCAGGGGAGGGTCCAGGTGGGCAGGGTCACCTTGACTCCTGGCAGCTGGGGCAGGAAAAGGGGGCCCCAGTTCCTGCAGCCCCCCACACAGGTCTTCTTCTAGACCCTGGGAGCAGCATCAGGGGTGAGCGGGCTCTACTTCCTGCCCTACTTCCTGCCGGCCTACCTCGGTAGGGGTTCTGGAGCAGAAGGAAGGAAGGCTGAGGGGAGGGAGCTGCCCTGCTGTCCTTCCAGCTGCTAGACCTCGGGGTCACCAGGCCCCGTGCCTCATCTCCTAGAGGCCTTTCTGCCTGTCCTGCTGCAAGGGGCCTCGCTTTCCTAGAAGCCTCTGAATTGTGTGCGTCCATCTGTGACTCCCCCCCACCGCCAGATGCCAGCACAGTGGCAAAATCCTCCAGGAAGAGACTGCCGGTGGGAGGGGGGGGTCCCCCCAAACTTCTGGGGACTGGAGGGAGAGGCCACAGAGTGAGGGGGGGTCTTTCCCAGGTCAGGTCAGGCCTCTGGTCCCAGAGTGGGGCGAGGTGGGGTGCTCCCGCCCACCCTCCCCTCTCCTCCCGCCTTCCCGGTCCCTCCCCTCCCCCTCCTTCTTCCTCCCGCTTCCTTCCCCCCACTCCCTCCAGCTCAGCTCCTCCTTCATCTGCCCTCCCCGGCCCTCCTTACCAAGCCTAAGCTGACCTTGGGGTCCAGGACGGGGAGTGGGGGTCCCCCCCCCGAGGCCTGGACACGGCTGAGGCTGGGTGCCTGAGAGAGAAACAAAACTGAAACTAATGGTACTTCAGCAACTTCCGTCCCCAGCCCGGGACACAGACTTGCACGGCCTCAGGCCCCGCCTTCTTCCCTACCCCAGCCTGGACCTCTTCCTTGGGAGGGGGGGCCTCCACCCCTGGCTGCGGGGCCCCTCCTGCAGGCCCCGGGGCTCGGTGGGCCTCCCCGGGTTGGCCTGTCCGGATCTAGCGTCGGATCCGCTCAGCCAGCCAAGTGTGTTTGTCGTGCACACGCAGAGGAACTGCCTGAGGACACTTCCTCTGAGGGGAGAAATTAGAGACCCTCCGTGATTCAGAGCCGAGTCCTGGGGCCGGTGTCCCGGTGAGGCAGCAGAGCTACAAAGCCATTCCTAGGTGGGGCCCTTCACGCCACAGACCTTTGCTGAGCCAGGGGAGAAGCATGGCAACCAGATGAGGAGCTTTGGAACTGGTTTAGGGAAGGCTTCCTGGAGGAGGCATTGCTTGAGATGAGTTTGAAGGGCACACAGGAGTTTGGGAGGAAGAACACAGGGAAGAACATTCTGGGAATCAGGAACAGCAAGTCCGTGGGTATAGAGGAATGAAATACCCCAACCCTTCCCAGTGGCTCCAAGTAATTTGGGATGGTTTATGGGAAGGGGACATGTGTGAGGGGCAGCAGATGATGTTATAGAGGGAGGCAGTGGCCAGATCACAGAGGATCTTATGTTCTCCATGAAGGAGTCTGAGTTTTATCCAAAAAGTCAAAAGACATCAGTGAAAGATATGTCCCCCGATATCTTATGAAAAGTCTGAAGCACAGAAGTGGAAGGAATTGCCACAAACACTAATACACCTACCACTTACGTTCTACAGTTAAGATACAATGGTTGATTTATTAGGTATCTATCCGTGTATGCACCGCTCTGTTCACAGTGACCCCAGGAGAGTTCACTGTGGCAGCAGGGTCCAGGGAGAAAGTGGAGGGGTCTGAGCTGACACATGGCTGCAGCCCAGAGAGGAGGGTGGAGGATGGGATCCTTATTTGGGAGCTGTCATTGAAAGCCATGAAGGCACGGCGCTGGTGACGGGCCCTAGGGAGGGAGGCGAAGGAAGGAGCGCAGGCTTTGCAGGTCTGAAGGTCAGAAGGGAGGGTGAGGCTGGCGACCCCCAGGCTTGTAACCTTTCTATACTCTTCTGTGGTTTTGATGAATCCCTCAACAGTGCCCAAAGTGAGAAGAGCAGAGTTGAGATGGCACTATGGGGGGGGGACCAGACACTTAAGGGCCATGAGGGAGGGACCGGGGCGTGAAGGAGGCTGAGCAGTAGTAGTCAGAGAAGTCGGTGAAGATCCAAGACAGAGAAGATCACAGGAGCCACGCCGGGGAATGTTGCGCTTCCAGAAGGTGGAGGTGGTCCGTGAACGTTGCAGACCAGACAGCCCAGCCAACAAAAGGACGTATTGGTACAGGTGTGTCCACAAATGTACGCACACACCTGCACATGCGTATGGCCTCCGTGTGTGCTTCTTTGTGCACACTCAGGAACCATTTGTCAGATGTCTGCTGTGGCCAGACAGCATGCCATGCGCTATGGAGCATACGGAGATAAGCAGGATATATTGCTCGCCCAAGAGGAGTTTTCAGTCTAATAGGGGAGGTGAGAGTTTTACATGTTGCGATAGGAGACAGCAAGGCAGATGCCAAAATGATCATCACAGTGGCTTCTTTTTATTGGGTATTTACCATGAACTTGGCACAAGGTGTCGAAAACACAACCTGGTTTAATCCTCACGATAACCTGTTAGCACAGGTACGGTTTCGCCTCCACTTTACAGATGAGGAAGCTGAGTTACAGAGAGAAGTCCATCCGCCCAAGGTCATAGCAAGTGCTATGCCAGCACGAGAGAGGGACAGTGTGATTTCTCCCGGAAGGGTGGTGGTGGTGTGGGAAACCGGAGGGCTTCATGGAAGAGGCAGCATTATCATGGCCATCCTACCCTGCCTCGGCAAACACTGAACAGTTGCTTAAAGTGCCTACGGTGTGCAGCCAAGAAGACAGTTTCTTCCCTGGAGAGCAGACTTTTAAGCTAAGGGATAACTCACCTCCAGCCAAGTGATAAGCGTTACCACAGAGACACACGTGGGAGTAGGGTGTGCAGATTCTCCCTGGATGCTGGGGATTCCTCAAGATAACCCCGGGGTGGGCAGGCAGAACAAAATTAAAAATTACCTGCCTCGTTTCCTAGAAGGTCTTAGGGGAACAAGTCATCATTTGTAGGATTTTCATTAAGCAAGTTTGAGCTTTGTTCTGTAGGTGCTTGGAGAGGGTGAACTGAGCAAAGGTTTTTAATCTTATTTATACAAATAATAAAGATCATCTAAAATAAACTTTATTTTTTTTAAAGATCATATTTATTTATTTGAGAGAGAGAGAGACACACAGCGAGAGAGGGAACACAAGCAGGGGGAGTGGGAGAGGGAGAAGCAGGCTTCCCGCGGAGCAGGGGGCCCGATGCGGGGCTCGATCCCAGGACCCTGGGACCATGACCTGAGCCGAAGGCAGACGCTTAACGACTGAGCCACCCAGGCGCCTGTAAAGTAAATTTTAAAACACTCCTAGCATCATTGTAACAAAATAACTTTTTTCCTGTGCTTATTTCCTTTGGTCTCTGCCCCTATGAATATACTTTACCGTAATTGTATTTGTAGTGTGCTTACACTTTTTGTTTACTTACCTAACATAATGTTATGTCAACATATTCTGTTTCTTTTTTTTTAAGATTTACATATTTATTTGGGGGGGGAGGGGCAGAGGACGGACGCAGGGCTCTATCCCAGGACCCTGAGATCATGACCTAAACTGAAACTGAGAGTCGGACACTTAACCTACTGAGCCACCCAGGTGCCCCAACATTTGCTGCGTTTCTGTACATTCTTCATAGTTATTATTGTTAACGCCTGCATAAATTATATGCTGTAATTTACTTAACTATTTAGAAATATGCCGGTAAGCCAGCTTCCCCCTTAGCAGATTCCATGATATAAATAATGATGTAAATATTCCCATCAGGGCTGATTTCATGCTACCAATAATTTAGCAACTGGCTGCAAAATTCCCAAAATTTAACAATGAGCTCTCAGGAGCCAGTCGTCTTTGGAAGCTTTTAGAATCTTCTCTTTGTCCCCCGTGTTCTGAATTTCACAGTGAGTACTGTCGTGCTGAGCATTTATTGGGTTCTTTCAGTCTCAAAGCACGTTTCCCTTCAGGTCTGGGAAATTCTCCTATGTTGGGGAGGATTCTCTCCCCTCTGATTTCTCTAATTTCTCCTCCTTTTTCCCCTCTGGAGCTTCCACCGTTCAGATGCTAGACCTCCCAGATGGGTCATCCAATTTTATCTTTTCTCTCATTTTCCATTTCTGTCTTTTTGACTACTTTCTGGGAGATTTCTTCAACTTAAGCCTTCTAACCACTGTGTTTTTCAAATTTGCTGTCACAGTTTTAATTCATGTGTATCCTATTTTTTTTTTTTGTATCTGATTTTTACTGCATGGATCCAGTATCTTCTCCTACCTTTCTGAGGACATGAATGTGTTGTTGTTGCGTGCGTGTACGTGTGTGTGAGTGTGTGTGTGTGTGTGTGTGTGTGTTTCCTTTGCTCTGGGTGCTTTCTGTTTACCCCCAAGTTACTGTTTCTTCTTTCCTTCCCTCCCCCACCTCTCCCTCCCTCCCTTCCTTCCTTCCTCTTTCTCAGTGACTGTACTATTTATTATTTTATATTTTAAAATTAGCATTCTGAGGTATAATTTACACACAGTAAAAATCACTTATTTAAGTGTATGGTTCAGTGAGTTTTGACAAATGTATATCGTTAATAATTACCAACACAATCATATATAGTACAATATAAAAATAAGGAAATTGACATTGAGACAAAACCGTTAACCAGACTGTAGACCTTATTCATTTTTCACTGTGTATGTATGTGTGTGTGTGTTGTACATAGTTATATGCAGTTTTATTACAAGTGCAGATGCATGTAGCCACCAGCATAATCAACATCCAGAACTGTCCCATCAACACAAAGAAACTCCCTTCCTCCATCCCTAACCCCTGGCAGCTGGTGAGCTGTTCCTCATCTCTATAATTTTGCCATTTCAAGAATGTTACATAAATAAAATCATAAACTATGAAACCTTTGGAGATCCACTCAAGTTTTTATACACACATCAATAGTTCATTCCTTTTATTACTGGGTAATATTCCATTGCTTGGGAGTTCCCTAGTTTGTTTATCCATTCTCTTGTTGGAAGACATTCAGATTTTTCTAGTTTGGGTTATTACAAATATAGCTACTATAACCATTTCTCCCCTGGTTTTTATGTGAACCTAACTGTGTCTCTGGAATAAATACTTAGAAGTATGAATTCTCAGTTGAGTGATAAGCATCCGTTGAATTTTACAAGAAACTGCCCAACTACTTTCCAGTGAATGTACCGTTTTACCTTCCCATCAGGAATGTATGAGAGATTCCATTTCTCCACATCATTACCAGCATTTAGTATTGTCAGATTTCTTTATTTTAGTTCTAATAGGTGTGATATTTCATCATGGTTTTAGTTTGCATTTCCCTAATTGCTAATGATGTTGACCATCTTCTCAAATGCTTATCTAACCATCCATAGATCCTCTTCAGTGAAATATGTGTTCTTTTGCCAGTTTTTTAATTGGGTTTTTTTTTTTTTTTTAAAGAGGGAGAGAGATGGAGGGGAGAAAGGGAGGGGCAGAGGGAGAGGGAGAGAAAGAATCTCAAGCAGGCTCCATGCCCAGCACAGAGCCTGACGTGGGGCTCAGTCTCACAACCCTGAGATCATGACCTGAGCCAAAATCAAGAGTCAGATGCTTAACTGACTCAGTAATTTCTCAGCAGATTTCTCAGCAATCTTTTCCAGTTTTCATTGTACAGGTTTTGCACTTCTTTTGCTAAATTTGCTCTTAAGTATTTTATTCTTTTTGATGCCTTGGTGAGTGGCATTGTTTTTTAAATCTC